AGGGGAAAGGTAGCCTCATTCCTTAGCCTCCATTATTCCTAGAATTCTGACCTAGTAATTCATTACCTTGGTAGCCATCAGATCCCTTCAAACAGATTTTTTTGCAGGGGTCTGGCTTCTCTAGTTGTCATCAGTGGAAAAGGTGGTCTGAATTGCCCCATCCACAATTACTGGAGGCAGAAATCCGTTTGCCCCTAAGGCTCTTTGGTGAGCCAGTTAGAAGAGGTAGAAGCTCTATGAGGCTGTTTTCGGACTTTCCACCAGTCACCGTGAAGGTGGCCAATTTTAACTCAGCTCAAGAAAATAAAAGGAGGTGATATTATTTGTACTCTTAGTATTGTGAAACAATCCATAGTTATTATGTAACTATATAATAATTCATAGTTATTATATATATCATTTTACTGGGTTTTGCATCCTCACAACCAAAATTCCTGTCTAAAATAGACAAAAGCAGTATGCTCTAATCCACATTTTTTCACCAGATCTCTTTGGTTGTTAACTTAATAGGCCCAAAATGCTACTTCAAGTTGTTTTTAATTTACAAATGAGGACAAATATTTTCCTATGAGTTTTCTTACTAAATATATTTTTGAGTCAGTCCTTTCTTCATATCTATGCCCATTTATTAATTGGTGTCTTGATGTTTTCTCATAAATGAAGTAAGATTAAACTTCTGCTTTCATATTTGTTAGGAGCCATTTCAGTAGTTCAGTATTACTGCTTTTATTTCTGTGTTGTTTTTCACTGTACAGACATTTTGAAAAGTCTGATGCAGATTTAAGTAATTCAGTCTTTCCCCTTGTAGGTGTTTCTAATGCTGTCCAAGTGTCATGATTCCTAAAGGGTCTAGTGTAATAAAGCACACAGAAATCCTGAGATTACTTTATTAGGCAATAGGAAAATCTTGGCCAACTGATTCCCACTGTCTGTGGAACCAGCTTGACATCAGCACCACCTCTGCTAGGGCACAAGAGCCCCTGTCTTGGGCTGGGGACAGTGAGGACCACCATTTTCCAGGTTATGACCCAGGTTCTGCCTGGTTCCAAAGCTCTCTTTCTGAAATATGAGAATGGCTCGGCAGGATTAAACAGCTTCAGTTGGCTTGAAGGGACAAGTTGCCATCCCCTGGCTTATTTCCTTATTTCTCACTGACTTTATAAATTGTATTTTGGCCCTTCCTTGACAGTTGCTTAAATATGGTACAATCTGAATAGCAGACCCATGCAATTATAATTTTAACCAATTCCCACTTAAGCACATAAACAGTGTAATTTTAACCTTATTGGACATTTGTAGTTATTTGACAAAAATTCAGTGGTTGAATATTTTATTGGTAATCTACCAAAAAAATCCTATTAATGACTGCATCGCTAAACAGCTGAAATCAGGCTTGGTGAATCAGAACTCCAAGCTGAGAGAGGCCTGATCAGATGGTTGAGCTTGGCTAAGAGGAAATAGAGGCCACTTTTTGCCAGTGTTTCTATAACTTGATTAGTTTTAGATTTATCTATCTTTTTTGAATGCCATTTCAGGAAATTCAGGTGTTACAGAAGTATATAACAAAGTAGTGAAAATTCCACATAAAGAATCTTGCTGATTCTTTAACATCCCAAATCTGGCTTAAGTATTTCTGGACTTTGGTTTATTCCATTCAGTTATTACTTTTTCCTGAATCAGTATCATGCTTTTAATAACTATAAATTTATAATAACTTTTTCTTCAGTAGTACAGCCTTCTCTCTTATAGTATTTCCTTGTTATTCTCATGCATTACTTCCAATTAGAATCACTTTGACAAAAAAATTCCTGTTACAGATTCATTTATGTGATTTTTGTATTGAATTCACAGATTAATATAGGGTGAATTTCATCTGTACAATGTGGAGTTATTCTATTCAACAACTTATCTCCATTTATTCTATGAATTCCAGTGTATTCTCTAATATACTGGCTGTTTTCTCAATTACTAATTTTTTATTTGTTCAATGGCAAAATTAATATTTAATTATTGCAAAAAAGAAAAGAATATAGGATTATGTTGATACAAGAATATTTTGATTCTTAGCATTGACTGTAATTAACAACTTGATGTGTGTCATTTCAGATATTTTTCTATGACTATACAGTTAGAACATACATGCAGTGTAGTAGACAATCTAATAAAGTTTTAGTTTTTGTCAGGGCTTATACTATATATTCAGCAATTTTCTTTTTTTTTTCAATTAAGGTATTTTTGCTGCACACTCTTATGAAGGTTTCACATGAAAAAACAATGTGGTTACTACATTCACCCATATTATCATTTCCCCCTCACACCCCATTGCAGTCACTGCCCATCAGTGTAGTAAGATGCCACAGAGTCACTATTTGCCTTCTCTGTGCTGCGCTGTCTTCCCTGTGACCCCCCGACACCATGTGTACCAATCATAATACCCCTCAATCCCTTTCTCCCTCCCTCCCCACTCAGCCTACCCCAACCCTCCCCTTTGGTAACTGCTAGTCCCTTCTTGGAGTCTGTGAGTATGTTGCTGTTTTGTTCCTTCGGTTTTGCTGCGTTGTTATATTCCACAAATGAGGGAAATCATTTGGTACTTGTCTTTCTCTGCCTGACTTATTTCACTGAGCATAATGTCCTCCAGCTCCATCCATGTTGTTGCAAATGGTAGGATTTGTTTCTTTCTTATGGCTGAATAGTATTCCATTGTGTATATGTACCACATCTTCTTTTTCCATTCATCTACTGATGGACACTTAGGTTGCTTCCATATCTTGGTTATTGTAAATAGTGCTGCGATAAACATAGGGGTGCATATGTCTTTTTGAATCTGAGAAATTATATTCTTTGGGTAAATTCCTAGGAGTGGAATTCCTGGGTCAAATGGTATTTCTATTTTTAGTTTTTTGAGGAACCTCCATATTGCTTTCCACAATGGTTAAACTAGCTTACATTCCCACCAATAGTGTTAGCAATTTTCTTTTTTTACACATTTTAAAATTCATTTCAATATTTTTTTAGGTATTTAAGCTCTAACACGGGTTTTACAAGCTGGTGAACACTTGACAAATTAGTCAAATTATTTCTCTGCGAGAACTATAATCACACTTCCCAGACAGCATAAATACATGTTTGAACTAATATGATTATATATCATTGTTTTATCAATTACATAATAAAACAATCAAGTATCCAACTATTAGGTTACACAACTCAAAAGGTATGTACACCTTTTTGAAACTGTATGTTCTCATCACTGAAAGAACTACATTAGTACCCACTTTTACTAGCTGAAAGAAATCGGAAGAGGATTTCCACTTTTAGGAAAAAAGGTGAAGAACGAAAATAGCCTTCAGCATTTGTCTTGCAACCAGCCAGGATAGAGAGAAGCAGCGAGAGCGGCGCCGCCAAGCTCCTTCCCCGGGAACCACACTCAGCATCTCTGCGTCAAGCCGTGAGCGCTCTGAGCTGCGTCTGCCAGCGTCTGTGCTTTATCTCAATCTGTTTTGTTTGTCGTTAGCCATGTGTGCCCTAAGGAATGAGAAAAGCCTAAGAAAGATTACTTTTTGGGTCTTGGAATGTTAAAAAAATTTCTTTGTAAACTAATGGTAACTACTTCTTTGCTTTAAGCCATTTTGGCTTATGCAAAATTTCATGGGACTACTCTGCTTTCAGATAGCAGGGGAACCTGTAATGTATTAGCCATCTACTCACTTCATTACCAGAAACCCATTACTTTTTCTTTTTTTTGAAAAGAGATTGTAAAGAAAAGGAAAAATAATCACATTTCAAAAAAAAAAATAATAGTAGTGGAAAACAACTTCCAATAGGTATTTTTAAAAATTACAAGACATTCAGGAATTTTATGATTAAAATTAGTTTTTAATTTTAAAGCTGATTTTAGTATTAGATATCTAACTATTAAAATCTATTTATTTAAATACTTTATTCAATGTGTTATAGTTGATTATAGTCATGGTTCTTGCTGATTCTTTAACATCCCAAATCTGGCTGGTTACAAAACCCTTTAAACTGGCTCCTCTTTCTTTGGACATGACTGTGGTCCCCTTAGGTAGCTCCCCTCCCTTCTGGAACCATGGGAAATCCCAGACTCACTTTGCATTCTTCTTACCCCAATTCTAGAGCTCTAGTGCCTTTGATTGTCTTTACATTCTTGTTCTGATGTGTCCTTGATTCAAGAGTTACTTTAGAAAGCTTTATAAACATTTCCATGTTGTTCAGGGAAAAGGGGCTTATTAGTAGGTTACATTGTGATTATCCTGTCAGAGTATCTGATCTGAACTATTTCTACTTTATTACAGTTTCCTTCATGTCCAAACATGTAGCCAGTTTTTGTAATGTTCTAAAAGCTATTAACAGAATGTGAATTCAACCACTGAGTTGCTCTACCGCTTTGTGTGTTTTTGAGACTTGATTTGTTAAGGACTGAGATGTTAGATGTTCAAATATGACTATCTTTGGGTCTGTAATCCTTCTCCTTTCATATCCTGCCATTCTTTGCTAGGGGTACTTTAATCCTATTTGGCAGTGGCTAAAGATCATGATCACTACAGCTGCTTTGTGGATCCTGCATTTGATCATTATAGGGGGCGTTTCTTCCTTTTCTCTTGGACCCACACCTTCAGGACAGGGAATAGAGAGCCTCTGCTTTACCCGACAGCTCTTGGGTTTTAGTTAATACTTTTTTTTTTTTGCCTTGAATGCAACTACACTGACATTAATACTGCAAACCTTGCAGTCTTTTTTTCCCTTTGGGATATTTTTGCCTTCCCTTTTGCTTGTGATTTTCAGAGTCTTCTGGTTGCAACCTGATTCTTTACTCTTCTATTTATCAAAAAATAATTTTGGTAAATAGTAAATGATGTAGGTTTAACTTACATATCTCAAGTTACTATTCCCCCCTCATACTACACAGTCAAATCATTTATTAAGTAATCAAGAAAAAGATTTGAATGGAATTTGCCCTTTTTGTGTCCCAACAGCTCTAGATTTCTGTGGCTTCTCAAGACCTCAGCCCTCATTTTAGGACTTGCCATTGTTTTGTCGGTCTTCAGAAATGTGTCCCTCCGTGTACTGCACAGCAGCCTCAGACTGGAGCCCGCTCGCCCTACTCTGGCTGTCCAGATGCCAAAGCTTCTCCCTGAGGAACATCTCAGGAACCTGTTTACTTATGATGGAATCTGGTGAGATGTCAGGTTACTCCCCATTGGTAGGATACCTCCCTTGCTCCTCCTGTGGTTTGCTATGTTCTGTTGAGGCCATTTTACAGCCAGCTCCCTACCTTCCTGAACCTGTTCTGCTTGCTAAAGTGATTCTACCCAGTGGGAGCAGGAAAGTGCTTGATCTGCAGGGCACAGTCTCTTTTCTCTACAGCACCCAGCAAAGTCCCTTAAAATTTATTTGACCAAAGCTACAGGAAGATCGCTGCCTTTCCATCCTGCTGGTCTCCTCTCCTGGTGGGGCTCAGATACCACTGACTTTCATGCGGCTCAAGTTTAAGGAAATTTGGTGTGGAGGCTAATTCAAGAAAGGGACCTTCTTTCCCTGAACCATCCCCTCCTCTCCCAGTGTCTCTGGGAGGGACCACTGCTGGGGTTCCAGGGTCTCACCCCAACTAGGACAGGCCAGAATGGGAAAGGAGATTCTCGGGCTGAGCAACCAGTTCATTAGAGCTCAGGGTCCCTCTCACCCACCCACCCATCCACCCACTCCGTGTTCATGGTCCCCTTCTTGTTTTAGGCTGTTCCCGAAAAACCAGTGCAAGTGTGACACCCTCAAATGGAAGGAAAGCTATAACTTTCAGAATGCCTACAGCCAGACTGAGCTTCCTGCCGTGAAAGCAAGAAGACAGGCGGAGTTTGAACACTTTCAGAGGAGGTAACGCAGACCATGAGGGCTCTTGGAGCCTGAGGTAAAGCAGAACTCAGTCTGTGTCCCGCAGGCGTGTGTCCAGAGAGAAAAGGCAGGACTCGCTCTCTTGCAGGCATCCCGGGGAGGGACTATTACGAGTAAGCCAAGGACTGAGGAAGGAGCCCTTAAATGAGGATTTCTAAAACTTGGCATGTCTAAAATATTTCACAGTAAAAAAAGAGCAAAGGAATGAAGATCGTTCGGCACCTCAGTGTGGTGCTGGTGGCTACCGTGGCAGGTGACTGTGCAGGCTCACCAAGTCGCACCACCTGAATGTTGAGAACATACTGTCCCTCTGCTATGTGCAAGGCCAAGCATTAAACACTTGGGGTGTTATGGAACAGGATTGATGGTTGAGAAGATCAGGGATTGATCCTGGCTAGCTTATATCGAAAGAGAATTTGTGGGAAGGATGTTGAGACCTCCCCAATCCACAGGTGTTAGGATGACGAAGACATGAAGGCTAAGGAACAAAGAACCAAGGAAGCATGAAAGGCCTTGCAGGCCCAGCCCCCATTTTATCTTCTTTTTTTTTGCTATCATGTATGAGTTAAGTGGAAGGCATGCTATAATAAAGAAAACAATAGCATCAAAATTCAGGACTTAGGCTTTGGAACAGGCTGGAGTACTTTAGTGTTTTCATATTGACATTGTAATATAAGTATTTCCTTTAGGCTTATTGTAAGGTGCATTGTGTCAACATAGAAGAAACTAGTAACTCATAAAGGTCCTGTCATAGAAGCGCTATGAAGCAAAAATATCACCTGCTGTTATTGTTGTGTTCTATTCATGTTGTCCTTATAGTTCTGCACAGGCAATACATAATACATCAAAAAATACCCCAAATATTAGATCATTATAAGTGCTATATGGAGATACAAATTAAAATATTGTGGTAGAATACTAGTTGACAGCATAAAATTTAACAGGACACTGAAAGAAAGTGATCTTGGACTCTGGTTTGTGTGCCAAGCAGGAGTCCCCCCATCTCCCATAGAACAGCGCCTCAGCAGGAAGAGTCAATGCAGAGCCCAAGGTTAGGGCGGGATCACCATGGTGGCAGAAGGACAAGAGAGCAGGCCATGGCTTTTGAAGCCTAGTAAGTCAGGGGAAGCCTGGTGGTGTACGACCCCAGAGAGAGGCCGCTCATGATGGCCATTGTAAGCCAGGAGGAGGAGTGTGTGTTTGGCTTTCTGGGTAATGCAAAGAATTGAACTGTTTTAAAAAGTGGCAAGTTATGATCTGAGATACTTCTCTAAAAGGTCACCCTTGCTTTTTGGGGAGAATCCACAGAAGAAAGGTCTAGGCAAGGCAGGGAGACCCGTGGGCAGTGGGTGGGAGGGAAGTGCTTCTGCGGCCAAAACACTTGTCTGAGTCTCTGCGATGAGCAGTCCCCGGGTCCCTGCCGTGGGGCTCAGATGACTGGGCCTAAGTCATGAATCAAGGAAGGGGAAGGACGACTCGGGCCCCTCCAGGTGTGATCTCAGGAATCAGCCGCTATCCCCCAAACTACATACCAGTGGGAGACTCCCCGGAAGAGAGCTGGGCTGCCACAGGAGGGAGCACAGAAAGGCAGAGCTGCGGTGCAATACGCAGGGCATTCTGGCATCACTTTGACCCTGGCCCACCATGCTGGGTGAGCGGCTGTCAGGCTCAGTAGTTACCAGTGCTGCCAAGGGAGGCTGGCTGGCTCCTCTCAGGTCCTGCACCCTCCAAGTCCAGCTAGGTGACCTGGGCCAGCTGCTTACTCTTCTCTGTAAAACAGGGAAAATAGGAGTTAGGTAGTTGTGACATTTAATGAGTTGATGCAGAGAGAGGCTTAAAACTGTATTAGGTTTTAGCATCCATGAGATTATGGGGTAGTGGAGGAGGTAAGAAAAGCATATGAATATCTGGTGGGACCAGCTCCACACCAAGCAGGACCTGTGCCCTGGCTTTGCACTTCTGTGACGCCCTTTGCCAGCCTCCTGCCAGGGTGGACCCCACGGTTTGACTCCCAGTCTCTCTTTGCCACTCACTATGGGAAGAGGGCTTCTGTCTCTGTCCTGGGCAGGACAGGGCCTCTGAGGGAAAGAAAAGAGGGCTGTTTCCAGCAGGGGTGCAAACTTCAGGAAGCGCAGGGTGCAGGGGGGAGGACAGGGGAGAAGCTTTAAGGAGGTTGGAGAGATGTGATGGGGGCCCAGGGGGTGACAAGAGGACCTGAGCTGGGTGCCTCCTGGGAGGAGGTACTGGCCTGGAGGGAGCTTGGAGGAGGAAATACAAGAAGGAACTAATTCCAGACAAGGAAGGCCAAGGAGGCCATTCTTCTCATCTACCCTCCGCTGCTTGTGGAAACACCCAGCTCTCTCAGGATTATACCTGGTCATACAGGTATGAACAGAGTCAAGCAGCGCACACACCATAACTGATGTGAACTGGGTCTCATGCCAAGAAGGATGTAGCGAGGCAGGGGGAAGCTTTGCCAGGGCCTCAGATCTTTCTCAATTAGCTGATAAAACACACCGGATGCCTGGTTTGAGCAAGAGGCTGAGTTAGGTACAAAGATGAATTTGATGTAGATCTGTTGTCAGTGAACTTCCAGTGTGAGAGAGAGGCTCCTGTCAGTGCACCCTCCCCTGGGGTCGTGTCCATTCTCCACCTCACAGTCCCTGAGAGCTGCCATCATCCGAGGGAGTGCTAAACTCGGTGCTGAGCGAGTATGGGCAGACTGTGGCTTGTAGAATGGGTTCAGCAAATTGTGTGTAATTCAAGAGTTCAGTCCAAAGCTTAATATTACACTAGCAGTCAGAGGGAGTGATGTGGTAGGTTTTAGGAAGGAGAGCAGCTTGCAGCTCTAAGTCCAGGAGGAATGTTCAAGAAAAAGGTGACATTCAGAGCAGGCCTTACCTGTTCCCAAACGGATGACGTAGGATTCTACTTGTTCGCGTTTTAGTCTTGGTTCTCCCCATTCCAGAAATGGAACTTTATTGCTCTCTTTGTCCCATTTGGCTCAGTTTAGGCCTGGCAGTCAACAAATGACTGAATAATGGGGCACAAAATGATGAGTGACTCTGGGCAGAGTTCCGGGTGTGGCTCACTTTCTGAGGGAAGAGAATTTCTGAGAACAAAGCTTTAGGTATGAAAAGAATGGAGCAGATCTTGACACACTGATGGGGAAGAGCTCTGTTATTCATTAAGTCAGAAAAACACGGTACAGGAAATTTGTGCAGTATAGGACCATTCGTGTGTTTAAAAGTGGAGTGGGTATCTGTGTGTGCGTATGGGTGTGTTTATGTACGTGGGTGGAGAGGTAGAAACAGTGGTGGTAAATATTTAACAAACAGCTTTTGAGGCTTTTGACAGTGGCTTGCAGTGTCTGCCAGTTTCCATGGTTTAATAATCACCCTGTGGCTGGTTTCAAGCTACCAACATGACATCACTGGATGGGGAGTTGGAAAAAGATACACCATCGGTGTATCTCTCCACCATGCAGATATAGCAGATGTGAGTAATCTAAGAGCGGGGATAATGGTAATGTAGTCAAGTAATTAGAAAGTGATGGTTTTGAGTATAATCACCCTGTGGCTGGTTTCAAGCTACCAACATGACATCACTGGATGGGGAGTTGGAAAAAGATACACCATCGGTGTATCTCTCCACCATGCAGATATAGCAGATGTGAGTAATCTAAGAGCGGGGATAATGGTAATGTAGTCAAGTAATTAGAAAGTGATGGTTTTGAGTGTTTATTAGCTCTCTTTTCATTACATTATATTTCATTTTAAGGGTTTATTTAAAGTTTATTTTTTAAAGTATAATTTAATTTTTATTAATGGTTGTGTTTACTAAATGGCTTGCAAAATTCCTAGAAATTCAACAATGGGCTCTCCCATGCCATCAAAAGTCAGCTCCAGCTCACCGCTATCTCTCTCTCTATCTGTGTAGATAAATGTATCAAGGGTTGTGTGTCCTTTGATGGGGGGCAAGTGGGCAAGAATTTGCCTTACATGCTTCTGTCACACAAAATGCCCAAGCTTACAGTGTACGGTGGGCTAGGTCAAGTCATCGAGGCACCAAATGCTCAACGGCTGACATGCCGGCACCTGATTCAGCAGTGTCCCAGAGGCCCCAGCTCCGGGAAAGTTTTCTACTATTCAGTCCCCCGAGCTCAGGAAGGAAGATCTGACCTGGAGCTAATGGTGTCTTTCTCCTCATACCAACTGTCCAAGTGCTCAAGATCTTCACATTTTCCCATCCAGTCTTAGGGACCCTGTCAAACACCAGCTGTGATTACACCCTGGATAAATTACACTCAGATGCAGAAACCCCATCTGCAGACCACCCTGCTCCTATGCACGCGGCTTCTTGCTGGGATAAGGCAGATCTGGAGCTTGTAGGATGGATAGGACACAGACCTGGGTCTTGGCCTGGCCATACAGTTGTAAGCCAAGCTATCTATCACAGCCCGGGCATTGCATCCCTAAAAAATATTGGCTGAGAGGGACGGGCTGGCTTTCAGGCCAGGAGGCTGGACACCACTACTCAGCAGCTAACCATGGGCCCTGCCCCAGATCCTCCCAGACCTATTCTTAGAAAACCCCCAGTTAACAAGGATTGTTTTCCCTTCTCTGTCCCACATACTCTCTTCCTCTGATCTTCATTTGGCATCTTCAGGCTGGAAATCCACCTCTCTCAGCTCAGCAACTACAGACTTGATCTGGATCAGTGGTTCCCAAAAGCCTTTCTGTCCCGGCACCCCTGGGAGAATGGGGCACTCTACAGCTTCTCGGTGCCAGCAAGTAGTGAGTCTTTGGGACTGTGTAGTTTGCAAAAGCCCTTCCAGAATCTGGTGCTGCCGTCCCTCCTGCCCCACTCCACCAGGCTGACATCTACTGCTTTGTATTAATTTCCAGAGCTTGTGGCTCTGTAAGGGTTCCCAAAGTCGAGCTAAGCTGTGTGTCTTGCTGCTCCCGTCTGGGTGGCTCCGTGACAGCTATACCACCCTCCATCAGACGGGGAGGCTCATGCTCACGGGGACTCTATCTCCCCCCTTCAGTTAGGGAGTCCCTGAAGGCTGTGTGTATATACATATTCATATAAGCATGCTTTCCTTATTTCATAAGGTGTGTATAAGGCTCTTAGCAGGATGTCTCCAGCCAAAGAAATCACTTATAAGTAACCTGGGATCTTTGGCCTCTGGTGAATGTCACGTAAGTTCTACCATTTTCTGGGGGTATAAAATGGAGACTATTCAAACTCACATGCTTCCCACTGTGTGAGGGAATCCAGCGAAATCTTGCCTGGAGATCATGCTGTTATCCTGTGCCAGAGAGCACATGTCTGATATGGAAAGGTGTGACCGGGGATCTACCCAGGATGCCCAAGACCTCTGCGTACTCTGTCTATGCCTCTTAATTGTTTGTATCTTTGAAATTATTAATGGAGCTTGAAACTGCATCAGATCTTTGATTCACTTTTGTCTGATTGATCAAGCTGATCCTTTGTATTGTCTCCCTATTATGATTCAATTCAAGAGGAGTACATGGCTAATGCTTCTTATAAAAAAACCCATGTGAACTAACCCTCTCACTCCCATTTGCCTCTTTATTTGATATGCCCCCTTGCAAACCCAGCTGAGGAATCTGCCATTATGAGTTTGGTATATATTATTTCACTATTTTTTATGCTGTTACACACACAGATGAAAACATATAATCACACATATTTATGTGTGTGTGTGTATATATATATGTATATATATATATGTGTGTGTATATATTATTGGATTTTTGTGTGTCTATTTTTAATGTAATTGGTACCATAAGAATAAAGCACTCTGAAATTTGTTTTTTTCATCCAATGATCTGTTTTTAAGAGCTATCTATATATCTAGTTCTTTCTTTTTCATCGAAATTCAGTTATGAATAGGAATACACTGATTTCTACTAAACCAGTCCCCTCTTAAAAGATGCTCAGATTTTTGGAAAATTCACTATTACCTTTATACAATTTATAAAAATAATACTACATTATATTTTCATGCTTTCCTTATTTCATAAGGTGTGTATAAGGCTGTTCATTTCAAACAATGCTGAAATGAACCTCTTATGCATGTCTTATTGTTTACCCATGCAAGTGTTTCTCCCCTTACCTAGCTTCTGAATTGCTCAGAGGATATGCTTACTTCTACTTTTAATAAGTACTGCCAAGTTGCCCTCAAGTTGCCCTATGTTAATTTACATTTTCATGACGAGTAGGTAAGTGTACTACCTTCCAGCCCCCACACACCTAACCAATACTATCATCAAATTTTAAAACTTTAATGAAAAAGGTATTTCATTTATTTTGAAGTTGCATCTCCCTGATTCATATGGAAGCTGAACATGTTTCATAAATTTATGAGCCATTTGTATTTCTTCTTCTGTTAATTGCCTATTATGTCCTTCCTCATTTTAAAGTTTTGTCTCTCTCATATTCCCATAGATGTTCACTACAGTAGTATAATCTTTTCTTCCAGGTAATCTACATGATGTTCTTGGTTAAACTGCATCCCTGAAGGCTGCATTTCAACCATATCACCTTAGTCCCTCAAAGACTCAATCTCACTAGCCTGTGTTATGCACTTGCCCTTGACTGAAGGTTGCTACTGCAAAACCATATAGAAATTGTCACTGTGTTTACTTAAATAATATAGAGACAGCAACCACTGCCGTATAAAGTTTCTTGTGATATATCTTATTTTTTAGTTCAGTGCCAGGAAAAGTTTCAATTCCCTTCAGAAGTGGGTCTGCTTTGTCCTTTGAATAAGACCAGTACTGACTGGCCAGTCACGTTATAGCTCTGGCTGTCAGGAAGTTCAGAGGTGACTTTGGCATTCAGCTACCACAGCCGTGTTGGCCCTTAGAGTCTGATTATTTTGTTTCTTCTTTTTTGCTGGATTTCAATTTTTTATGTGCTTTGTTGTAAACTGCCTTGATTTCTTTGTGAAATTAGAGGCCCGGGGGAAGGGTGGGAATAAAGGAAGGGGAGAGAATGGAGAAGAGAGAGGGACAGTCTACTTCAGATTTCCCCAACTGGCAGCACAAAGGTCTGGGCACAGGCACCCCTTTCAGGACAAAGAGGATGGGCATCAGGGCAGCTGCTAATGGCTCCATTTCCCTGCAGAGAAGGGCTACCCCGCCCACCACCCCTGCTGGCTCAGCCCAACCTCCCCTTTGGGTACCCGGTCTATGGGGTGGAGGTGATGCCCCTGCACACAGTTCCCATCCCAGGTAGGTACTTTCTCACCTGGAGAAGACCCAGGTAACTTTCTTATTCGTTCTTAAGTGAAAGGAGGGAGCAGAAGGGAACAGTCATTCATTGAGTACATGCTGTGTACAATTCAAGAAGCTTGACATGATTTCATTTAATGTTAGTCTCCTTGGTTCCACCACTGGGAATGGCCCTTCAGAGCTGCGGCCTCCCTGGGGATCTATAGTAACATAGACAAAGACGGTCTGCGTGCCTCAAAGAATCTGAAGACATAACCGGCTTTTTGGTGTCCTCCGGCGTCATGGGAGTAGGCAAATCATGAGCCCATCCCCAGGGAGCGAATACAGAAAAGAATATTTCTGTCGGTTACAACTCCCCTCCACCAGGGACTTTTACACACTCCTCTAGTTCAGCAACATATCCCTGTGAGGTCAATATTATTTACTAATTTCACAGATGAATTTAGGACACAATATATTTGAATTGGAAATCGAATTAGTCATATAAAAACAGAGATTCTCAAGTAAATACATTTGGGATGAATTGTTAGTGTTTTTGAATAGTCATTAAAAAATTATTTGCTATTTTAGATGATTCCTTTTTTCATTATGGTAAAATATACCTAACATAAAATCTGCCATTTTAGCCATTTTTAAGTGTACAGTTCTGGCATTAAGTACATTCACATTGTTCTGCAACTTCACCACCATCCATCTCTAGAACTTTTTCTTCTTCCCAGTTGAAACTCTGAATCCATTAAACATTAGCTCCCCACCCCCACCCCCCACTGCCCCTGGCAACCACCATTTTACTTCCTGTCTAAGAATCTGATTAGTCTAGGAACCTCATAAGGACGATGCATTATTTACCCATTGCTTCCTTCCCTTCAGTCACAGACACACCTGGAAGAGACAGGATTAATTCACAGCACCTGTCCAAAGCTGAGGGTGGGCATCAGAGCCTTTAGAATCACTGGAGCTTGGGGACGCAGACACCATCTCACAGAACTCTGGGGAGAAGGGAGTGGTCAACCTTCTGAATAGAAGGTGTCAGTCAAAGGCACCGTGGAACAATGTGTAGGAGTCACTGGGAAGTTTTGAGCATCAGGGAGCCCTCTGCTTCCTCTCAAATGGTGTTTTGTGTCTTGTTTCCTGTGTCCTCTAGGTCTCCGGTATGAAGGACCAGATGTTCCCATCTATGAGGCAAGAGTCCCCTTCCCAGCCCCAGTTTGCACTTGGCATCCTATCCTTGGTTCATTGCCTGTGCCTCCTTCCTTCCGGGGTGGCAGGTCTCAGGTTTGGGCAGAGCCCCTGTCCAGATTAAATATCAGACCCCAAGTACAAGGTTGGGAGAGGCCAGGGGCACCAGGAGAAGGCAGGATTTTTCCAGCCCTAAGAATTCGCTGGAATTCCAGGGAGGACTTCTGGAGAATGGCCCCACCGCGGACGCTGCTGATTCTGCCTCAAGGGGAAGCCACCGCCACAGCCACAGCTCCTGCTCCCGTGTTGTGTGGCCTCTGTCAGGGTTAGCGCCAGCAAGCTGGCTCCGTGCAGCATGCCCTTCTTCCCCACTAACACAGCTCCAAATCAAGGCCTTGTGCAAGCATTTCTGAGGTGTGGGGTGTAAACCATATCCAGAACTGTACCTAAAAAGGAGCCTGGATAGTTTTCATTTTCCACCTCTGCCTGCCAGAGAGAGCTTGGAGCAGGCGATGAGGGAACAAATTGGCAGAGCAGCTCCCCCTGCAAAGGCTTTTCTGCCCTCCCGAGGAAAGCCCCCACCTCAGGCCTGGCTGGGTACTCCGTGTGTCTTCCTCATGGCGCTTACCTGTACCTGAATTGCTTATACAAGTCAAGATATGCTTATTGCCATTCTTTCCCACTAGAATATAAGCTTCTGGAAGGTAGGGAATCTGTCTTATTCATCATTATTTTCCCAGTGCCTGTAATTGGCATCTCAGAAAATACCTGCCAACTGACTGAATCGTTTTCAGCAGGAATGACATAATCCAGATTTCTTTCACAAAGATCACTGGCTGGTGCAGAAGGCAAGAAGGCAGAAGAGGGTAGCATTAGGGAGCAGAATCTGGATGGAGAGAAGTGGACCAAAATGCCAGCTCCGTATGGAAGGCACAAGAGACAGGCTGTAGGTGTGAGGGAAACACTCCACTTGGAGACTTGAAAGTTGAGCGGATGAAGGTGCCATTCATGAGGCAGGGAGAACCAGGGAGAGGCTAGAAAACAGGTTTACAGTGAAAAACTGACAGTTCACTTCTGAAGATAACAGTTTGAGCTGCCTGTGAATCTTCCTCACAGAACAACCAACCAGGCGGTCAAATCTCAGAAAGATAGGAGCTGGAGACTTAAATTTTAAGACCATCAGCATACGAATAGTGTGTAAAGCTGCCTCCCCTAGCAAGAAGGTATAGAATAGGAAGGGAAGAGGACGCAGAAGCAAACCCTGAAAAATTCCCTTTGGAGGTCAGACAGAGGAGGAAGAGCTGGCAAACGAAGTCGAAAGGACCAGCCAGCAGGAGAAAGAATGAATCCAGGAGAATGGAATCCTTCAAGCCAAGAAATCAGAATGTTTTGAGAAGTGGCCCTTGAACCACAGGGCCCAGGGCTTGATTTTCTTTCCATGCAGCTAGAGCATCAACTCCCAGCCGAGCCAGACCGCCGCTCCCAGGGGCTTCTCCTCTCCCCTTTAGTGCTCCCCCTGCTGGCCATCCTGGGTACGTGCCTTTACTTGCATTTAGCATCTTCCTTTCTCACCCCTTAGGTCACCCTGACAGCTTCTCTGGGGACACTGAACACTCTCGCGGACATTCCAGACAGGGTGGTGCAGGGCAGAGGCCAGAAGCAGCTGACCATTTCAACCAATAGCCGGAAGCTTTTGAATTTCGTCCTCCAGCATATGACATATACCAGCACGGTGTACCAGCTCCGTAGGGTGGATGTTGGTGAGAGCCTGTTCTTAGGTAGCAAAATGCTTAGGGAGTTGGAGAGCACCACCAGGCCCGCTCAAAGTCTCCCTCCCACAGGAAATCTTCCTGCATTTCAGACTCTTCCCTCGCCCCTGTTTCTAACCCAAGGCACCAGCTTCCCAGTCACTGTACTCGGTATTATCCTTATGTTGCCATTGACCCCATAGAGTGACTTGAAGGGGAGAACAGGCATCTCTCTATGAGGTCAGGTGGCTCATGCTGTGCACCTGGAAACCATCCACTTCTGGTCCCCATTCTGTGCAGCTTCCAAAGCTGAAGACTTGAGCTACGGCAGAGGAGAGAGCCAGGCTGTGCACCAGCATCTTGCCTTGGGCACCAACAGGGAAGAGGGATGTGGCAGAACTCCGAGTCCCTAGGGCAGGGGCTCTGTCTGCATCCTCTCATCCCAACCCCCCCGTCCCCCAACCCAGGGATTCCCAGGGGCACAATTCCTGCCACTCTCAGGGCAGCCTCTGTCTCTTCCTGGGTGAATTAAAGGCACCCTTTCCTCTTGACTAGATACACAGAGTGCATTCCCAGGACACCAACAGAGAAAATGAACCTTGGGATGGAGTACCCATGACCACAAACTAAAGGAATTCTCTTTGCTGTTAGCTTTTCAAACATTTCCTCTCACAAAATGACCCTGTGAGGTAATATAGGGCAGGGAGTGTTATCCTGGTTTTGTAGCTGGAGAAGGAGATTTAAGTGATTGACCGCAGGTATTTCATATAATAAATGGTGTAGTCGAGTCACACTTAATCAGACTCTCTGATTCCAAGCCCACCCTGCCCCACCAGATTCTCACCAGGGAAGAAACAGGAATTTAGGAGACATTCAGCAGGTTGCTCCAGCAAGTCTGGGGCCAGAATGCCATAGACTCAATGGGGTCCTCACTCTCACCCCAGTCAGGGCACCCTCTCCAGAACCTTCACTCCCCCACCATCTCGGCTTCCCAGGGGGACTGTGGAGAGTGACCCAGACATGGTACTGCCCATCCTGACCTTGTTTCTCCCTCCAGTGAGTTTGGAGTCCAAGTCCTCAGTGGCCAAGTTTCCAGTGACCATCTACCATCCTGTCATACCCAAGCTATATGACCCTGGACCAGGTAAGGCTCTTGTCCCTGGGGCTCCATGTGGAATCCTGTAGAGCTACTGGTGAAATTCAGAAGGGATCCTCTCGGGCATGGAGGCAAATTGATGAAAATAACAGCTCCAGTATGATTCCTGACAACAATCTTCGTTTGGAGGAAAAACATTTAAGCAATACTCTCCTAATATTGCTTAATTATGTTTGATTTATTTTATGGTTGTGTTTATTTTGAAAAAAAATCCTAACAAAGTATAACATTTTGATAAGTAATTGTAACAAAAACTGTGTGGTACTGGAGCATGACTAAATATGTCAGTAGAATCAGCTTGGAAATGCAGAAATAGACATGTTGGAGTTTTAGCATGTTATAAAAGTAGACTTTCAAATTAAAAGAGAAAAGATGGATTATTTAAGAAGTCATGTGGGATATCCATGTAGCTATGGAAGATAAAAAGTTAGCATCTATCTTACAGCTCATACCAAGATAAGTTGCAAATAGATCAAATATCTAAATTTTTTTAAGAACTAGAAAAAATAAATAAAACCATGGAGTTGTAAAAATAACCTTAGAGGATAAGACTTTTCTAAATATGACACAAAGCCCAGAAACCATAAGGGAAAGACTAAAAACATAAAATAAATTTAAAAATTTAATGTTTTTATAGCAGAAACCCCCCATAAGCAAAATCAAATGACAAAGGACATACTGGGAAAAAATATTTTCAACATTCAAGTCAAAGGCCTTGAGAGAGTTTGTATGAATCAGTAAGAACACCCAGTAAGCCAATGGGAAAATGCACAATTCACAAAAAAATAAGTTCAACAGTACTTCAAGCCATTAAAATATATGCTCAGTATTACACTAAGAAAAGTACAAGTGAAAACTAATTCATATCACAAAGTACTGGATGAGAAGTGGGGGAAACAGGCATTCTTACAAATGGCTGGTGGGGATTAAACTGGTACAAACTTGCTGGAGGCAGTTTGGCACTATCTAGCAATATTTTAAATGCGTATACTCTTTAGGCCAATAATTTCACTTCTAAAAGTTGTCCTACAGATCCTTGCATCTGTGTGAAATGACCTTTCTTCAAGGCTACTTAAGTGGGAGGCACTGGTTCAGTTCAGGGTGGGTGCATAGTGTGTAATGAAATGCCATGCAGTGGTGTGCAGCAGGAGGGAGGGAAAGCAGAGGAGGAGGGGTTTTTATATGGATACAAGATGCTTTCCAAGATGTATGCAAGGTACAGGAGAGAATGAAGAGTACGTTATTATTTCTGCAAAAGAAAAAAGAAAAAAGAGGGAACAAAGAATGTAGGTACATAGTTGATTGATTATGGAAAAATGAACAAGAAATCGGTAATACTGGTTGCCTCCTAGAAAGAGACCAAGTAATCTGGGACAGGGATGGGAAGAAGTGTTTTCACCGAATAACTTTGGAGATATATATGTATATTTGTTACCTAGAGATTCAAAATAAAATCTATTCTATCCAGATGGATTCTATTCCAAATATAAATTATTATTTGAAAGCAATAGCATTGCATACCTAGTGAGAAGGGTTTAAAATATTTGCTTAACACAGTAATTATCTCAAAAATAAAATAAACAAACAAAAGGAAATTCACAAAAAACCTTTTTTTGCTCCAGATTTGTTTTAAAGATAAAATGTTACAGATAAAATGGAAATCCCCACACTTATTCCCCTCTGTTCCTCCAGCAACCATGATCATATGTATCTTTCTTTTCCTGTTTTTGTACCTTTAATATGTAAATTTCTATTCACACACACACACACACACAGCATACAGTGTTGTCTATGGGTTTTTGAACTCTTCATAAAGGTTATCACACAGTAGGTATGAAATTCTAGATGCTGACATTTTAAGAGAAGTCTGTAGCTTGCTTTTTGAGTTTGTTTCTTGGGTCTTTTGTTATATAAACACTTTATCCTTTAATGTAGCAAAATTGATGCATTGTTTTCTTTCCAGCTTTTGGTTTTTATGCCTTGCTCAAGAGATTCTTTCCTACATTAAAGCCATAAGGATATTCTCCTGTATTTTTTCCCCAAGTTGCCCGTTCGCTTTTCACATTTAGATATTTGATCCATACAGAAGTTACTTTTCTGTGTGGCATATGATGGGGATCTAATTTCTTGTATGTGAATAGCATATTGTCCCTTCACCTCCTCCCAGCTTGTATTGCTGCTCTGTCACGTGTCACCTTCCGTGTATGCAGGGATCTGAATCTGGGCTTTGTTAGGTTGCACTGACCTGTTTGTCCTTGGGGAAATTTCATAACATTTCAATACAGTTTATGATAGTTTTTATATCCAGTGGCCTTAAGTCTGTACTTCAGGATGACTGTACTACATCTGCTAGATTGTCTTAGCTCTTTTTTGGTCTTTTTCTTTTTCATTAAAATTTTAGGATCAGCTCATCAAGATCCTCTAAAATCCCTTGAGATTTTGATTAGACTATCACAGAATTTTTAGATTAATTAGAGATGAATTGACAGCTTTAGAAAGTTAAATAGTCCCACCCATGAATCTGTATACGTCTCCATGTTATAGTTCCCATGTTACAGTCTCTACACAGGTTCCTTAATAATTTATTTTGTAATTTTATTTGTAAAGGAATTGTACATATTTTATTGGATTTAATCTTAGGTACTTTACAGTTCTTATTGTTATTGTGAATTGGGTTTTTTTCCTACTATGTTTTGCTTGAGTTGTTGCTGGTATACAGGATCTTAGTGATTTTTGAATGTTGAACTTATAAACAACATTCATGTTGCATTCTGATTAGCAATGATTTTTTTAACATACAGAGTCTCTTAGACAAATAATGATGATTTTTGTTTCTTCTTTCTGATTCTTATAATTTGTTGCTTTATCTTAATGCCTTTGGCTAAAACTTTCAGGGCAATATTTAATGGCAGTAGTGGTAGCATGTAGTTTTTCTTGTTCCTGAATATTCTAATGTTACGCCATCAATATTTGCTGTGTGGTAGACATATCAGGGCATGAAGGTTTCTTTCTTATCATCTATTTCTACTGCTAAGAGTTTTGCTGTTTCTATTTTCTATTTTCTAAGAGGTTTTCTTATGAATGGGTATTGAATTTTGTCAAATAATTTGTCTGCATCCTATGAAATAATTTTTCTCCTTTAATTGGGCTCCTACAGTGATTTACATTGATTTTCTGCTGTTGAAATATCCTGGCACTTCTGGAATAAACCCACCTTAATTGCAATGCATTATTTGATTAAATGCTGAATCAAATTTGCTATTTTATTGAGGATTCTTGAATTTGTATTTAAAACTAAGACTGTCTTTTCCTGGAATGTCCTTGCCCAGTTTTGTTATCAATATTCTATAAATCTCATAAAATGAGTTGGGTAGCTTTTCTTTTTCTGAAATGAACTGTACTAAAATAGGAATTACATGTCCCTTGAAGCTTTGTTAAAACTGACCTGGTCCTTGGGTTTGTTTTGTTTTTGTTTTTGTCTAAGTTGGTGGGGAGGTGGCCAGGGGTTAGAAGTGGGAATGTGAATAGGAAGGAGTGAGAGAAAAGGGAAAATTTTAGAATATCAATTCTGTGTCCTCAGTGGTTATTGATGTGTATGTACACTGAGCCAATTTTTTAAATGTTTCTATGAAATTATCCACTTGATGTGCAATCACAAGTTTTTTGTCATAAGGTTGTTTATGACATTCTTTTATACTTTCTAAAACACTTTAATACATCTGAAGTCCTGTCCATCTTTTGGTTCTTAACATTTATCTTTGATAACTTATTTTTTCATACCCAAATATTCTCATTCCATTTATGCCTTTGTTTCATATTTTCTTTTCATATGTGTGATCCTGTTATCTACCACTGTAAACATCTGAAACATTTTCATTTCAAATCATTTTCAGATTTCTTTGTAACTTTCAGGTTACCTGGAGTATGCTCATCTGTGCTCAGTAGATTTGTGGCTGTTGTTCTTCATACTAATTTTCTTCCAGTGTTTTGTAATTGTTGTTGAGCTCACGTTGAGGAGGAGGCTTTGGCTTGCTTGTCTGTTTTGTTTTCTCCTCTCTCCCTCTCTCTTTCTGGGCTCCTTCCAGCTCATGGCTTTAGAGGTACTTCTGCTCCCAGGACCCTGGATTCTGGGAGTCCTTTTGTGCTGGAGTCTTGAGGTTCCTGTCCCACGGCGATACTGGTGTTACTGAAGAGCCAGCTGCTGGGCCTGAGAGTGGCTGGGCACAGGTCCTGGCGGAGGGGTAGCCTCATCTCTGTTTGCACCCAGAGGCGTGTGCAGGGATGATGGCTGGGTTGGGCTCCTTGCCGAGCAGGTAGCTGGCAGTGAGGGACGGAGAGTCTGTGACCAAGCTCCAGCCTATGGCTTCCAGCAAGAAGCTACAAGAGCCTTTTGCCCGTTAGCCCTCAGAATTGGCCTCCCCGCCTCCTCTGCTGCTTCTGATCCCTGGTGCAGCAGGCCCCAGCCCCAGCTCTGCTTGCTGCTTTTTATTTCTGTTCCTGGGAAGAAATGTTATCTATTTTTGAGCATGGCTATATCTTTGCATTTTTCTTTATCATTGCTATGTGTTTGGAAAAATAAGGAAACCCAAAGCAGAAAACCACAACACCAACTTGGACAGGAGTCCTTGCTTCAACCACATCCTGTGGGAGTCACGCCTCTGGTTCTCTTTATTATAACAAAAGAACCAAACTTGTCCTGTGGCCTAAGACAAGAAAAGGGAGGAGAGGATTCATTTGACATGCTCTTGAACATGATTCCTGCACTCCCTCAGACCCAGGGGAGCTGGGGAAATGGTGCATTAAGAAGGGAGCTCTGGAATGACTTCCAACTTTGTCCCTCTGAGAGAGCAGCTCTGCAGCGGAGCTGTGGGACACTCACCCGCAAACAGTAGGTAGGGCTGCGGCCTTTAGCGTGCCCTCCATGAGCTCGGTCAGCTGGTGCTGCCCCCACATGCGGTGGCTCCACCCCCAAAACACACTAGCCGTCCCAGTTCTGCCATCATGGGGTCTTTCCCACAGAAAAACTGTCCCTTCTCCAACCTTTTATATATATATACCACACGCCTTATTGGTCCAGGCTTTCCAACCTCCAAGTAGACCTATCTCCACTCATGTTTCCCTGTGGGTACAAACCAACTAGTTTTCTCTCTAAGAGGGCAGCTGATGACAAGGGCAGGTCTCAAATCCCTTGGGTCTTTTCTCCTCTTCCTGGGCCCTGGGGCTCACCATCTTGAACCTCTTGATGGGCAGAGCTGGCTGTATCTAAACCCTCGGTATCAACGTGAAGGCCTGGTGCAAGCAAAGGGCTGACAGGCATAAAATGAAGCATCCACATAGACAAGAGGAAATGGTGTAGGGGAGCCAATGGAACCAGAAAAAGAAACTCGGGAATAGAAGACAGATAAAATCTCAAGAAACTGAGTATGTTTTAAATATACTTATTTTCCAATCCAACTAATAAACTCTTGTTAAGCACCAACATGAGCAAGAAGCACAGGGCCCACAAATATTGAGAGGTCATGGCATAGAGAAAGCACCAGAACAGCGCAAGCCAACACAGTGAGGCACCTCCAAACACAGAGCTCTGACCCCATCCTTTCTTGCCCAGAGAGGAAGCTCAGAGACCTGGTGACGGTTGCCACCAAAACTTTCCTCCGTCCCCACAAGCTCATGATCATGCTCCGGAGTCTTCGTGTGTATTACCCAGATTTGACCGTGATTGTAGCTGATGACAGCAAGGAGCCCATGAAAATCAATGACAGCCACGTCGAGTATTATACCATGCCCTTTGGGAAGGTATGTCCCTCCAAGACAGGAGAGAGCTGCGTCCCAAGACAAGAGGGCCTCAGGGTTTCAGGTGTACACTGAATGGGGCTTCTTGGGTGGCTTTCCCAAGGAAGCAGGATCTTGGAGCAGAGTGGGTAGGGCTCTCCTTTGAGTGCCCTTGCTGACTTCAAATTCACAGATAATGAGTAGAAAATTTTCTACATGAACAGGCTGGTCAATCCACATTTCCTCACATTTGGTGTGGAAATTGATTGAGGCCCTTTTAAGGAACCCGAGGTGTCCAAAGTCCTAAGGATTCTAACCACAGAGAAGCCCCTCATCCCTACGATTCCCCCCAAGCTGGAGTGTCCCTTTCTATCTGTCGGTCCACCACACACACACCTTCCTACAAGGGCACACCGAAGGAAATGGATCTTATACTTATCAGAGCTCCCCACCCTCCAACATCTTCCAGGCACCATAATGGGAATGGAAAGAGAGCCACAGAGATGTTGTCAGGTGGAAAAGGACTTCAGTCAATCCATACTGGCCACAGGGTCCAGGGAGGGCCATCTAGTCCTTCTCTGCCTCAGTCTTTGACCCAAGAGCCCCTGTCCCTCTTCCATGTCTCTGAGGCAGGGACTCCCTCTCACCCAGGGGTTCTCAACCACTATTTGGGGTGCACCCTGGCTCTTGGGAATTTAGAAGCCTCCCCCAGTGCTTCTAATTTGTAGCCAGGCCTAGCAACCACTGATCCAGCCCTATTCCACCTACAGGGCTGGTTTGCTGGTAGAAACCTGGCCATATCTCAGGTCACCACCAAATATGTTCTCTGGGTGGATGATGACTTTCTCTTCAACGAAAAGACCAAGATTGAAGTGCTGGTGGATGTCCTGGAGAACAGCGAGCTGGATGTGGTAAGGGAGGGGTGCCGGTTTTACCCCCTGTAGATACAGCCCAGAGAGGCAAAGGGACGGAGAAGAGAGGAGAGAGTGTGAGAGAAGAGGAGAGAGCGAGCCGGGGAGTTCGCGGGGCCGGTGCAGGAGACGACTGAGGGGCAGAGGGCCTCCCCCCGGGAGTCAGGAGATGCGCTGGTCCTCTCCGCCTCCATACTGACTTTTCTCTAGACTACACTAGCTGCAGCCGCCCCCACCCACCATTGTTCCATCTTTAAAATGGTGACTTCACGAATCACTTCTAAGTTCTCCCCAGGCTGGTGTGAGATGAGAGGGCAGTGCTTTGGTTTGGTGACACATCATTTCAAAAAATGGAAACGGGACAAAGCTTTAAAATAAGCACATAGCTCTAATGACCTTTTTTAAAACAGAAAATAATGTGAATATTGGGGAGGAAGAATTTTCTTCTACCCTTCAAGGTTCTTCTAGCTGGTCCAAGAATACATGAGACAGATTAACAGGAGAAAAAAAAACAAAGTTTAATCACATAAGTACAGAGGCCCAATAAAGGAGGAAATTGAGACCCCAAGAAATGATCAAGACAGGCAGTTTCTGTACATTTTAGACATACAGACAATAAATATGTGAAGAACTGACAGGACAAAGAAAATTTAGGTTTGGCTGCTTTGATTAGTAAGGACTTCTAAACGGCATTTGGGCTGAGGTAGTATATGAGTAAAAAAATAACAAGATTTGTTTATGCAATGTTCTTGGCTCCAAATTCCTTCTCTGTGAATAAGGATGTCTCTTTACCTCCAAGTGCAGGGAGGGCACCCCTCACATGGGAGGTTTATTTCCTGGTTTCAGGGGGACACAGAGGAGGGTCAGAGTATCCTTCTCGCACCAGCTGTTTCTCCAGTCACTTTAATTCAAAGTCATCAAAATGCCAAAGTGGCACATTTTGGGAGCAGCTTAGCCCTGGTCCCTATCAAAACACCAAATGTTAATTGATACACAGAAAAGAGAAACAAAATGTGATGCTAATTAACAGTATTTTGTTGTATTCTTGAAATTTGCAGAGAGGATAGACTTTAAATATCACCACATGCACACATAGAATGGTAACTGTAGAAGTGATGGATATGTTAATTAGCTTATCATGATCTTTTCACTATATATATATATCAAAACATCAAGCTGTACACCTTAAATTATACCATTTTAAAGTGTCAAAGATATCTCAATAAAGCTGTTAAAAAAGAAAGAAAATGAGTTCATACAGTAAGTGGCACTGTGACCACAGTTAAATCTTACTCCAGGTAGACAGTCCCCAAAGCAGCTGGACTGACTGAAATATCTCTTGACTGATCTTCTAGGGACCAGATCACAACAGGATTGATGGGGTAGAAGGGGTAGTTCCCTCTGGTTAAAAATCCAATCCAGCACTTGACTGCTTCCAGGGTCACCCAGGACCAACTTTCTTTCCTGGTTGCTCTGCCATCCTGTGGCTCTTGCGTGCTTGGCCAGAAGAAAACAGGGGAGCAGAAGTGGAGTACAAGCGATTTTCTTTTAAGAATGTGATCTAGAAGCTGCAGACATCCTTTTAAATCATATCCCTCAGTCAGGACTTAAACACATGGTCAAACTTTGCCAGGGAGGGGGTGAAGTCTCACACACTCTCCTCTCTTTAGTGGGGTAGTGGTTATATCTTAATTAAGACCACTTAAAACTCAGTTCATTTACTAAAAGGACAGGACAGAACAGGTGATGTGGGACAGTTAGACTTTACTGTGCCTAGGTGACTGTGACAGCTCAAGAATAGATGCATTGCTTGCCCTGTTTTGCTCAGACTCACACATGGAAATGCACATATCTCCCATGTGGCATGGACAGGGCAGCTCAGGGGGGTCAGCCAGGAGCAGAGGGTGGGAAGAAGAAAGCTTGAGACGTGGCCCTCTGCAAGGAGTCCCACAGCAGACACTCCGTGTACAGGCAACTGTACCTGCAGGCTGTGTCGTCCTGCACCCAAAGACAGGAGTGAGTCACCTTCCTCTGGAAAGAGTGAGCTTGCTGTAGGGTAAGCAGAGAGAGAAGTTGTCTGCCCTTTGGATTTGGTGTGAGTGCTTTCTGCTCCTACCAAGGAGATTTTCTAGGGTAATAGGAAAGGACGGATTGAAGGACCCAGCAGTAATATGCAAAGGCTGTGGCCACAACAGCAAAGAGAGTAACTGAGGAGTAGTATGAAGGGTAGATAGAGAACGGTCGTGATTCTTGTTGTAAATAACTGGTGTCAATCCAGTAAGGCTTCCTGGCAGAGGCACCGTGGATATTGATGTATATTCTCTAACATGGTGTTCTTTGTCCACTGGCCAGGTAGGCGGCAGTGTGCTGGGAAACGTGTTCCAGTTTAAGCTGTTGCTGGAGCAGAGTGAGAGTGGGGACTGTCTTCACCGGAGGCCAGGATCTTTCCGGCCCCTGGATGGCTTCCCCAGCTGCGTGGTGACCAGTGGTGTTGTCAACTTCTTCCTGGCCCACACAGAGCAACTCCAAAGAGTTGGCTTCGATCCCCACCTGCAAAGAGTGGCTCACTCAGGTGAGGAGGCTGGAGAGTGAGAGGGGGAGCTGGGCTGTGACCTGACCTCAGAAGTTTGTTTTTTCCAAAGGCTGTGTGCCACTGACTGGGTCACTGGCCTGGTAACAGAGGGTCCTGCTGCTTTCCCCCAAGGTCAGATCTCATGGTCTCTCTTGCCTCCCACCTTCTCCTCCCTTTGACTTCTTATCTCCATTGGTTGCTCCTGCCCTTCTAACACCCTTCCCCTTCCTGTCCCTGCAGCTCTGTCCCCTCCCCCTTTCCTTACCTTGCCTCTTATTCACAGTTTCCAGAAACCCTTTTCTACTTAACGATGACTGGTTAACTGCACTCTTGTCTTATCCCCTCAGTCCTGGAGTCCACGGTTGTGTCCATCTGGAGAGCTAATCCGTGTCCCTCTGCCTTTCTGCCATCTCTGAGAAACAAGCTTATTTGCTTCCTTCCAACTCAGCCTTGGCAGGTGGCTTCACACGGCACTGAACCTCCGCACGGGTATAAACTGTGTCCCCTCCCCCAGCTCTCTTTCCAGACCCAGAATGACCCTGGTTTTCTGGCTGAGACTCACATGCCGTCTTACGTGCTCTCCCTGTCTTGGCAGAGTTCTTTATCGATGGGCTTGGGAGCTTGCTCGTGGGGTCATGCCCAGAAGTGATCATAGGTCACCAGCCCCGTTCTTCAGTGGTGGACCCAGATCTGGCTGCCCTGGAGAAGTCCTACAGTGCATACCGGGCCAACACCAACGCCCAGATCCAGTTCAAGCTGGCTCTCCACTACTTTAAGAACCATCTCCAATGCTCCACATAAAGATGCCGGGGCATCAGAAAAACACGAGGCTGACGGACTGTGGGCATCTAGAACAGTGGAACTGGTGATTGGGCTACCAAACTGTAGACTCCTGATAAGACCAACATTGTGATGCACTAGCTAGTGGGTGGGGCAAATGGGTGGGGCTCAGTTACTGGAAATACCAATCAAAGGCTAAGGGTCATTAGAAATGGACCAATCACTGGTCAGAGCAATGGAGATCTATTAATAATCATTTGCTGGTTTGAAGACTTACCATTTGTGAAGCACTTACACATGTAGTACCTCACATTATTCAGTCTCACGTGAAAGAGTATATTATGGGTTGGTATCCTTGGTCAAATGAATGGCTGCTGGGTCCTTGAGGGTTATTTGGTGAAAATTATGTCACAGTCAGAAGCATCATCTCTGGCATCACTGTCATTCACAAATTTTTATTTCATCCTACCCTGGTACCTCAAATACTGTGAATAATGCAGAGTCCTTGCCTTGAGGAGGTTGCAGCCTGGTTCAGGTCAGTGCACTGGTCGAATTGGGCCACCTGGATCAGAGGATCCGCAGAGGGGGTAGTGACCAGGGCCCCAGAGCTGAGGAAGGCTCTGTGGAGTGAGCTCTCTGGAGCCTGGAAGGATTTAGGCAGTTGGAGGGTGCACTGGGGTCGTCCACTGGCTGCCCGAATAAAGAATTCTCTGGCATCAGACTCACTACCACGATGACACATTCCAGATGCCAGGGATTGAACTTGGACCCTGTACTAAGGTGCCATGACAGCAGTGTAAATGCAGCGGCAAGCCACTGAATTCCTGGAATTTGAGGCTGTTGCTCACCACTTAAGACCCATGTCATCTGCAGAGTGGAGCCATCTATAGATGTGGAGGAAGATTCTTTCATCTTGGAAATCAGCAGATTCTACAACTACTACCCTAGCCCTGCCTTTAGGGTTTCCACTCCGTCCTACTGGAGATGGTCTAGGGCAGCTCAGGATCTCTGAAAATGCGTCTGTGAGATACTAATAAACTTTGTGAAAAATGTTTTGGCTGTCAAATAATTTTGAAAAATACTGCATGTTGTATCTCCCTCTTGGAAAGTTGCAATTCACATTCGTTTATTAAAGGCTCTGAAAAGTCCTGCAGTAAAGAAATATGTTTAACTTTGCTTAATTCAGCATTTCTCAGATATGGATATAGACTGGCAATCAATTTTTATTGTCCCAAACCAGAATTGAACACACATCTTATTCCATTGTGTATGTCACAGAGAGTTGATCGGAAAGGTTTTTACAGCTTTAACGAACACGCACAGTCATTTTGTGGAGAAGTACACACAGTATAGCTATATGGGAAGACAATATGAGACTGTCCCATACGGTACTTCCCTTAGAACCAGGCAGAAGGGCCCCTACCTGGGTTTTGTACTTTAGAGCACCCTGCATGCTTACTGATGAACACCCAGGCATCTCTGTCACTCAGGATCCAGTTTTCAGGGCTAGGACAGTATAACCTGTTTCCCTAAATATCCACTCTGGGGACTCACACTGCTCCCCCCCCAGGGCATGTTTTGAGTAACATTATTTTACTAATTTTTTTAATAGAAACAGTTATTTTGAAAAAAAATTGCAGTAAAATACGCAACATAAAATGTCCTGTCCTCACCATTTTAAGTGTACAGCTCTGTGACACTGCGCACATTCACACTGCTGTGCAGCCATCACCACCAACCATCTGCAGACCTTCTTCATCCCAAACTAGAACTCTGTACCCATTAAACACTAACTCTCCTCTCTCCCCTTCCCCCAGTCCCTAGAAATCACCATTCTGCTTTCTGTCTCTATGAATTTGATGACTCCAAGTACCTCAGATGAATGGAATCATACAGTATTTGTCCTTTCATATCTGGCTTATTTCACTGAGCATAATGTCCTCAGGTTCATCCCTGTTTTAGCATGTACCAGAATTTCCTTCTTTTTAAAGGATCAATAATATTCCATTGTGTGCACAGACCACATTTGCTCTTCTCTCCATCCGCCAGTGGGCTTTGGGTTGCTACTACCTTTTGGTTATTGTGATAACCCTGCTATGAACATGGTTGTACATATGTATCACTGAGACCTTGCTTCCAATTCTTTTGGGTATATACCCAGAAGCAGAATTGATGGATCATATCATTATTTTATTTTTAATGTTTGGAGTAACTACCATACTGTTTTCCATATGCACCTGCAAGATTTTATATTCCCATCAACAGCGCACACAGGTTCCAGTTTCTCCACATCCTCATACACACATTTTTTTAATAGCTGCCATCCAGTGATTGTGAAGTGTATCACACTGTGTTTTTTTAACCTCTTTTTATTGACTTCTTTTTTAAAATTGAAATATAGTGTATATACAATTTATATTGGTTTCAGGTGAACAACTTAGTGATTCATCATTTATATACATTTTATACATAAAATGCTCACTGTGTTAAATATAGTTACCATCTGTCTGAGTAGCATCACTTTACAGGTTAGCAGACTTCTTTGTAAAGGACCAGATAGTAAATATTTAAAGATTTGTGGGGCTTACGGTCTCTGTCACATATTCTTTTTCATTTTTATAACCCTTTAAAATGTAAAAACCATTATGAACTCGTAGGGCCACACAAAACCCAGGCTGCACTTGGTCCACTGGCTGTAGTTTGTTGACAGATTAATATTGCCACTGGCTACAAATGAAGTGAAAAATATCAGTTATAAGAACAAATTAGTGATTTTGTGGAAACAGAAGCAAGAAAATTAAGTTGTATGGAATAAATAAGTAAATTATAAATTATATATATACATATATATATATATATCTTTGTTCTTATTTAATGGTCATCAATGGATCAACAAAAAAACCAGACCTGCGCAATAATTATTAAAATCCATTGCTTTGGTATGTTGCTGATTTTTAGTCATAGAAAAACCATCGTTTTACAATATTTTTTATTTTTTCCATTATAAAGATAACATTTATCAAGGTAAGAGGATAGAACATTTATTTTAAACAGTTTGCCAGCTTTGGTTATTATAGTTTTTAAATGTTTTAATATTTTTAAATAGTTAAGATAGAAATAAAATATTTAGATAAATATTTAATGGGTGCCAGGCCTGGTTCCACAAAACTGTCTGCTTTCCTGATTAATTCCTTGCATTCTTGATATAGGGGATAGAGTTGTGCACTTTCATGGCAATCATAGCCTTCTCCAACGTTGCCCAGCAGGGACCATTTTGACATGCTGTAGTTATTTATCATCAATATGTTCCAGGCACATCCCCTTCCCTGTCTCAAGATCTGGAACGTTCTACTCCAGCAGGAAGGAGTAGTTAGAATGGAGCTCTTGTTGGGTGTTCACCTAAACTTGGAGGCAATTCTCCAGGCTGACCAACTACCCAGAGAGTGTGTGACCCCACTCCCTGGCCAAAATGTACTGGACCAAGAAAGGCAGGCTTCTGAACACACGGCCTATCAGATTGTCTCTCTTGGGATTTGAATTGGGCCTGAAAAGCAAGGCTCTGGGGTGGCAGGACTTCTGACATTATACTCAGGAGCTGCAGAGGTGCCCCTTCACACTGTGCACCAAGGAGCAGAAAGGCCAGTCTGCAGCTAGAAAAGAATTTGACATATGCACAGAAGGGCTGCAATGAGACTCCTTAAGGCCTTCTGCTTCTTTTCTGAGTTTGGCCATGGTCCTTCCCTGAGGTTTTGTGAAACACTATACCCTTATAATTCTTTCTTTTTGCTCAACCTAATTTGAGTCGGTTCCTGTTGCTTATAAGCAAACTGTCCTAAATAATACAACCATTCTGTGTGTCCTGTTTGTTTTCAAAACAGAATGGCATAAATAAGAAGTTTTCTCCTTGGGTGGTTTGGAAGCAAAAACTAGGTCACAGGCAGTAACAGCCACATAGACTTCCTTCCAGTCTTCAATTTCAGACACAACCAAGCAGCCTGGACCAAATCGATGACAAAGGTATCCTTAGCAAGACAATCAAGATCCCCTGATACTTTGGGCTAAACCTCAAATTCTGGGACAAGTGGATGCAAATAACAGTGTGGGCCTCCAGGGGGAGCTCAAGCCCACTCTCTGTTTTCCCCCTAATCTACATCCCGCTGCCCAGAATGGGAGACCAGCAGCTGTGACTTTCAGAAAAGTGGAGTCTTATCGGCTACCGGGCTAGTGGCCTTTGTCTTGCATGTCTTGTCCATTTCATGTGGCTGAAGTGGAAATGGGACTGGGATTGGCTTCCTCTGGATGCTCCCTCCTCTACCCTTCAAACTGTATTTGATTTTTGATAGACCAAAAATATACATACACCCTTGCAAAATGTGTATCTATTAGCATGCATTTGCTGGCAAGCTCCAGAAACTTGACCCAAGTTTAAACTTGTCTTAAACTGTCTCATATACAGCTTGAAGCCCAGAGGTGGGGCCAGCCACAGATGTTCTATGATCCGGAGGAATATCAGGGATTCCAACCCCTGATGGTGGAGGGGGTGCCTTGCTTAGCCCATCTGGCAGCTTGAGACCCCCTTGTTCATTATCTTCCTGATCCCCATCTGAGTGGACATTGGACAGGTTGACCTTCCTGAGGCCTGCCACAGCTTTATCTGCCCACTTGGTGTTAGTGGTGTTCAGCAGCCTGGGGATGGCAGTAGGAGCTAAAACTCACTAGCTAATAGCAGTCAGATTTTTAAGGGAACTGGATTGCCAATGAAATCTCATTAGCAGTTCCTCAGACTTACAAGTTTTCTGTCATTTGCAGTCAATTCCAGACATCTTGTCTAGACATAGTCTTTGAGATTGGCAAATCCTTGGTAATCACGGGCCTCTACACCTTGCCTATCCACTGGCACTCAGTGAAATAGCATCAACCTTGAGGTTATTCAAAAATAGTCACCCCTGGTACAGAAAGCCCATCTATAATCTGTTCTTTGACCCCAGGTTTTTCCTCTCTGTAAGCAGAAAATGTTTAAAAAATTGCAATGTAATAGGCTAGTCTTTTGCTCCAACTGGTCTCCTGCTAAGTCTCCTGTCTCTGTTGGTAATTCTCTTGGGGTAAAGAATTCAGCTTTTTGAGCCCTACAAGGCTCCAAGTTACAGGATTTCCATTAAACTTGAATTGCAAGGCACCTAGCAAAACCATATCACCCCGCTTTAAAACAGGGCACCTTCAGCCTAAAACTTGTCTCAAGACTGCTGCACGAAGTCACTAACACATGCCAACATGCAGAATTGTTTTCCTATTCTTGATATTCTACAGTCTTCATAGGCACATAGTCTATGTTCCAGACACCAGCAGCAGTTTCAGGTTCACCACCTTCCCAGGAGGTCACTGTCTCTATACCAGTTCCTGTGCTCAACTCTTATCTAATGACATTCACATCGGTATACAGCTCATCTTTTTCTGAATCCTTTGCTGGGATGCTCCAGATGCCTTCATGCTCTTCAGCCTTCCTGCTTTAGCTGCTTTAGCTTCAAACGGGTTTCCCATATAAAATCCACATTGTTTATCCTGTTTTAAATCTTACCAAGAGATTATCAACGTTTTTTATAGCCTTAAGTAACTGAGTTATTGGTAATGTAGCTGCACGTGTCCCTCTCCTATCCCACACGCTTGGTGAAGGATACGATTATTTGCATGCAAGGACACAGAAGTCATTGATCATAAAGGAAAAGAAAAGGATAAATTTGATTTGATCAAAATTAAAACTTTCTGCTAATGGAAAGATACTATTATGAAAGTGAAAAAGACAAGCTATAATATGGAAGAAAATATCTGTAATGCAGATATTTGGAAAAGATTAATATCTTAAATATATAAATAATTCCTATAAATAAAAAATATAAAGACAATTTTTAATGGGCAAAATGCTTGAAGAAGCACTTAGAACATAAGATATCTAAATGGCTAGTGAGTGGTACATATGCACAATGGAATGTTACTCAGCCATAAAAAGAAGGAAATCTTGCCATTTGAGACAACATGGATGGACCTAGAGGGTATCATGCTAAATGAAGTAAGTCAGAGAAAGACAAATACCATATGATTTCACTTTATGTGGAATCTAAAAAATGAACAAAAAATAAATAGACCCAAAAATATAGA